TTCAATAAATCTATTATTTCTTGCTCAAGACTTACTTTTTTTTACAGCTGAAGAACCTTGGTTAGTAGCTCTTTCATATATTATGAGTTTAGAAGCCTATAACTGAAAATATGGAAGATATGGATAATTGTTTTATTTATTATAATATACTAAAAAATACCCAAGGGATCATAAAACTATTCCCCTGGATCTACAGGCGTTAAATAATAATTTTTATTTTATTTTTTAGTTCGCCAAAAAAAATCATAAAATAGCAACATTATAATTTTTAAAACCTAAATATGTGATGATTATCCCATGGCGACCATAGAACCTAAGAAGATTTCGCTAAGAATTATGGTTTATCTCGAAAACTGTACATTTTAGTAGTTTTGAACCCAGTTACAGTATTTTCCTTAATTTTGCGGTCTTGTGTCCACCTCGAAATCTTTAAAACGCAATTTATCCCGTCTTGTTCCACCAACTTTTGAAATCTTCTGAGCGTTGAAACTCTTATTTTTTTAAAATGACTTTTTAAAGGCTTTAGCCAAGAAATACGATTTGCCGCAAAAACATTACACGTCAAAATATTTAAGACAAAATTATTTCTTCTTCATCTGCCGATTTTTGAGATCATCCAACCTCTGAAATGTCTAAATTTTTTAAATAACCATAATTGTAGTTGTAAGGTTTCACGTTTTGAAACTAGGATTCATAATTTCTCCATGTAATTTCCTTTCGCATGGTATTCATCAAAATCCATCGCTTCTGATTGCAAAAATGTCATAGATACTTTTGTATTATATGTAGTTTACATTGTAATCTAACTTACACGCACCTGACGCGGAATGCTTAATTTAATATCTGACAAAATTAGGCGTAAAAATACCACTTCTTAAATTTATTCTTGTTATATTATCAAAACATTTTTGGGAATGAGGGAGGAGAGGTATAATTGAGTTGAGTTGTAATTAAGTTCAGTTTTGAATAAAAAGAGGTGAGATGGTTAAGCCCAGTGTTTTTGTGCTTAATGGCTCTAGACCAACGGTGCTCTCTCTTTTCTTTTCTTTTCTTTTTTTCTCCACTTTTCCATCCCTCCTTTCACCTTTACCTACTATTGTGTTTTGTTATATAATGAACTTAAAAAAAATTCTTTTGTGTCGTTGACATATAATATTTTATTTTTTCAAATCTTTATGACGTATCTGCGAAACAAATATAGGCCTACCTTGTAATATATAAAAAAGCAACTAATTAATGTAATATTAATTCGTATAGCATATTATTCAGTGAATAAGAGGTATATATAACATAAAAATCAGTAAGTAAAATGTATCATGAATGGTAGGAATCTATTTTCATTCAAAATAGTGTACCAAGACATGTGTAAAGTTATTATATAATTGGCTGTATCGTTGTCGAAAATGGTTCGATGTTGATGATTTCTTTTTTTATTTTGTTGGAATTTTTTGAACCTTAGTTATAATCAATAATTATTCAAATAAAGAAGAAGATAATCTTAATAGCGCACTTCTGCCACCAAATTTTTTTAGAGGGCATATTTTCAAACTAAGAAACAAGGGACAAACATAGAACAAACTGCAGCTAGTATAATTCTGTATGTTCTACGATTTTTCTGCTTTCTCTGTTTTTAAGAAAAGATGAGAAATAAAATATCTTGGGAATGGGGGAGGGATAGATTCGAGCGGCAGTTATGAGGGGGAATGGACACCTCCCCTAACGTACCGACAAAAAAAAAAAACATTGAGAAATGGATTATTTTTTATATAATCAAAAACTATACGACTCCTGAAATATTCCAGTTGTTAATGATGACACTTCACTGTTAAATAAAAAAAAATAAACAATTAATCAAACCTTTTATATTTAAAACTATTAAACGAAAAACTGACATGATAATGTTGATTCTACATTATAGTAACTTTAAATACCTAATATTGCTTGTAAATTTTTTTTTATACATACCTGCAGTTAATCTTATGTTACTACTAAGTTTTAGATATTTTTCTTGATGCAGATGTAAAATTAATTTTAATTATTTAACAAATAATTGTATTCATCTCTTCCCATTACGTCCATTATATTTGTCAAGGAGGACAAATCAAAATGAAAATGAAACTCGAACAAACGAAATGAACTTTCAGGAAAATGTCAAGGGTTGCAGGAGAATTGAGAACGAAAAGCTTCGAAGGGATCCGGAAATATTGGGATCAGGGATGAAATAAACGAGTGTGGGAGAAAAGAGGATAGCGTTCAATCTGTTCACAGCACGGCGGAGGTGGATTTAGCAGGCTCAATCTATCTTTGGATTTACCGGCCAAATTCCCAAGTAAATGTTATAAAAGCTTTTGAAGTAAGTTGCGACTTTGTAATCCGGCATACGAGTGATTATTATAGGAAGGCAAGTCGAGATTTTGACGAACCAGAGAAACGTTTTAGGGGCAGTTACTAAATAAAACTATTTCTTGGAACAGTGAAAACGAATTTGCCTTCTTCTTTTCTTCGGATATTCACTTGAGTGAACAGAGCTGCACATGTATCAATTAACCTCAAACCATTTATTACGAAAACATAGATGGTATGTCCAATCGGTTTAAAAATAATCTAAAGCAAATTTATAGTTGTTTTACTAACCGCCGAACTTTTGGACAAGTTTCCGGCCCAAGTATTATTTTTATGGTTGATTAACTTTTTTTAAATAAAAGAATCCCATGATCTGAAAATAGTCATTGAAGAAATCAATTTGCATCATATTTGCATAATGCTTATCCAAGTAACACTCATTCTCATATGTTTCAATCGTAAGCGGGAATATTTTGGGGGGGGAGGGTTGGTGTGGCATGATAACAGTGTCCCTTACATGGTAGGGAAAGGGAGAGGATAGAACACCATTTATAAAGGAGTAGCTCAGTAATCAGTTAATAATTTTTATTTATTATGTGTATAATAGTATATACTAGTTGGCCCCTGCGAATAATTCGCCGAAAATTTTATTTTGTGAAGAAATAGCAAAGCAATACGGAAATAAGCAGATTCCATCTATTATGGAAGGAAGGAATTAATATTTTTTCCTTGATCGCTTGGACAATATTCCATTTAACATAATGGACCAAAATATTTGTAAAAATTGCTTTGCTAGGACCTATTTTTAAACGCTGACTAGAAAGATCATAAAAGTAATAAAGACAAAATAATGCTCCGATCATGGAATTTTCAAAATTATTAAAAAAAATAAAATGTAAGAATAAACAAATGCCTTTAAGATATAATGGAGTGAATATTAAACCAGGAAAAAAAGTATAGCAAACTATTCTATTCATAAATACAATATATTTAAAAAGGGAGACATTATTAAGTACAACAAAACTAATGGACTGTATCTTTGTTAATGACAGTCCGGTTTTTTTTTGTTTTGTAAGTAATTTAGTAATCTTTCTAATTATTATGGGTACAATCATGAAAAATTGCATGCTTTTTAATTTGAGAGTCTGAAGACTTAGATTTTAAAGTGCATTTTATGATCAACCAGATTGGGAATGGAATTGGTGCTGGAAGAGGAGAGATTTGAAACAGGATACTGACTTTGCGTTTCCAATATCAGAAGGGATGGAATTCCAGAGGGAGACGGCTTGAGTTAAAAAGATCAAACGCAGCAGTTCAGTGAGGAGGAGGATAGTGTTCGGATGTACTCTGGCGAGTCGGGATTGAATGGAGGATCTGTAGAATATAGGTAGATTACCGAGTTCCAATAGCCTGGTATACTCTGTGTAATATTGGGTAATAGGCGTATCCCTTGAGATGCCGAAGGTAAAGTATTCAATTCATTAGACGTTTAAGTATGGCATCATGCTCTCCCGAAAGTTCACCGTACACCATACAGACATAGTCAAAGTGGAGGAAAACAAGAGATGGAACCAGGAGTTAACTGGTTTTGAACGGAAGGAGGTAGCGTAGATGGTAAAACTGTTTCAGAATGGAAACAGTACGGCGATGCTCCAAATGCCGGCATCCACAGTTCCAACCATGAGCATTTGTCATTGATTCACTGAGAAATTACTTTGACATAATACAAATATTTTTGATGACATAATTATAATTTTTTGAGTGACAATAATATAGTATCTACTGAAAAACGATCTTGCAACTCATAGTTAGCATTTATTCGTTACATGTATACTGCTTCATTGCATCTTTCGTGGATCTAATAGCAGCTAAATATACTAAAGTTGAAGAAAACCAATTTTGAAAAACCAATTTAAGCAAATCTAAAATGCATTGATAAGACTATGGGATGTCAAAAAGTAAAAACAAAAAATGCATGAATAACTAGAAGATTCCTTCGTCTAAAATTAGGGTACTACTAGAATAATTTTTTAGGTGTAAAAAAAAAAAACTTAAGTCTATCTAATATCATTTTAAAAACAAATCAGTACTTTCATTTGGGACATCCAACACAGCCAAAGGGATTTACAAGGAGATAAAAGGACTCGCCAAATAAATAAAACTCCAGGACTTCTGAAAACGTAAAGATTTGATGTTTTTTTAGTTTAATCAAGAATTATTATTTGAAAATACTATTATAAAAAGTTAAATTATGATTACAATTGTGTTATTGACAAATGTAAGTGATCACTGTTTCCTATTGACTTACATTCAATGTAACTATAGTGATTAACATTTTCAATTAGGTAATAAGGTTCGATAATTACTTACGAACCCAAATAACAATAATGATGAGTAGATCGAAGGAAGCAGCTTGCTCGGCCCTATTTGATGATTGAATTCAGCGCTCGCGAGATCAAACGGATTGAGCCCTAAGTACAAATAGAATTGACCTTCCTCTCAGAATTAAATGATTTAATCACACTCCATGGTTAGTCTAAAATTCTTTGATTGAATCTTTAGGGTCTATTTTCTATATCCAAGATTTTCATCAGTTATTTAATTAAAAATAACATAAAAATATTTGAAATATTATAATAATGTAAGACGAGCCTTACCTCCTGGAGTGAGTATTCTTGGTTGGGGAGTTGTGCTCCCTGCTGAGCCGGAGGATCTCCTCGACCTGGAAAGAAGGCAGAGTGCGTTACAAAGCTGTTGGCAACGATGATAAGAATGCCTGATCTGGAAGAGGATATCATGCAGGGAACAGGGTCATAAGGCGCTTATCATAAGGATCTTATCAGCTGCCCTTAAGTGGAACTTGATCCTGAGCAGAAATACCTTAAGATGGCGAAAGTCTTATGTCGGATTGCTTAGAAAGGTATAATAGTTTTATCATATTTGGAGGAGGCAATAAAAATATATACAATAAGCAATAATTTAAGAACTGTTTAAAAAAGGCATCTTCACAATACTTAGAAATTCACATAAATAAGCAAAAACTAAAATACGGCGTTATTTAAATATATTTGAATTAAAGTAATAATTAAGTAAATTATATTGATTTAATATTTTGTTGTTGTAGGTACTCTTACTTTCACTTACCTGTATATATAATATATAGTAAGTGTAAGTATTGCGATAGTGAAAATTTTTGAATCTGAGTTTTCAACGGAAATACATGTTTTGAGGTCCCCTGAGTCTAAATAACCAAGTCCCGAAAAATGTTCTGTATGTCTATGTGTATGTGAACACTCTAGCTCGAAACCGATAAGTCGTACGAAACTGATATTACATACATATTTGAGATAAATATATGCCTTAGATGTCCTGGCAACTTTTTCCTTAAAATCAGTTAACCGGAAGTGCCACTTTATATCAACGTTGAAACACATTTTTATAATTTTCTCGAAAACGGCTTTAACGATTTTAATTAAACTCGGTGTATCATTGTATACTTAAGTAGTCTTTAATATCATTTAGGTCTTATCCCTGTTGATGTCACTTTACATGGCTTAAATGCCAAATGTACATGTTATGCACCATCCTCTAAAGTACCTTTAATATGGTTTATTTTAAATAATCACCTATCTCTCATTATTAAAAGTTATGAAAAAATGCTAAATATAACTTTTGAAAGAATTTGATAATTGAATAAAGGGAGAAAAAATAATGCTTATATAGGTCGAAAATGTATATCATTGGAAAGCGGAGAATTTTAGAAAAAACAATATCTAATATAGAAAGTTGGAGAAGGTAACGGGGAGCGGCAAAAAAATTATAAATAATAATTTCTGAAAACTGATAATATTTAACGTAAATCACATGCTTTCAAGGAAATTAAATGAAATTTACCAACAAAATGTAAACTTTAAAAAATGCAAATCTCTAAACTTTGCAGTGGAAAATAACAGTTTAATAACTAATAGTAGTACAATCCATAATCAACGGATCGAACAATCCATAATCAACGAATCGTGCAATCCATAATCAACCGGTGATATAATAAATAGGACTTTTGTTATTTTAATTGCATTTATGATTTGTTAGCTGCAATCTTCTAGCTTTAGTTAAAAATTCAATTCAAAAATTTTATAATAGCCCAACGTGGCCAGAAAATAATTTCTATTTAAAGATGAGCGAGTTCAAAGAGTAAGTGAAAGTTGTGTGTTAATAAACCACCAGCTTTTTTGTTTCTTAATAAACATATAAAAAATAGATAAATAAATAAAACCGAAAAAATAAATAAAACTTTCTATCCCTTTATAATGCACATGAATATTTACTTAAAAATCTTGCTGTATTTCTCTGGAAATTGACACCAACGAAAATTTAAACTTGGTGAAGAAGTGTACCTCCACTCCCGAACGAAACTCTTAGACTCTTTCGGATGTTCACAATCACCGGTACATCGGATGTAATCTTGTTTATTTAGCCCTAATAAAGAACTGCAAAGTGCTTCGAAACGTACGAAGTAGTTGTAGAACTGGAGTATCTGTAGTAAAGTTGGAGAATGATAAAAAAAAAAAAAACGGGAATAATTTATGTTTTTTTAAACATAACTTTTTTGTTTTAAATAAAGACTTTTCTCTTAGAAACTAATACTTTTTCAACGCGTTGATATTTTAAAGATCTGTTAGTTCATTTAATGACCCCTCCTCATCTCCCTCAATTTTAGGTTATTTTAGACATTACCTTCAATTAGCAATGTTCACCGAAAAAGAAAACTTTTTACTTACAACAGTGTGAGATCTAAATTTTGATTCTTTGTATCCATCAACGTCTTCCAGAAAAATAATTAACTGGTTCATTGACACAAGTAAACGACGTTTAACGAATAGTATAAGAAGAAAATATTTACTTGATTGAACATGCAAATAAAAAAATTGATTTTAGGAAAATTAATCAATGTTTTGAGAGAAAATTTATAAGAAAAAAAATTACTTTTTTGGTTATTAATAAACCATTCCTATCAGTAAGGTACTGATAATATTATTTAGTAAAACTAAACTCAGATTAGTTGGTAGTATTGAAATATCTTATTATTGTTATTTAACTATCTTTTATTTTTAAGCATGGCGAACATAGGACTTCAAACCCTTGTCACTTTGACTTTAGAATGTGAATTCACATGCCCTGATATAATGAAAAATTATTAATTTCTTCTTATTAACAACGGAACAAAGAAAATTTAATTATGATCTGAAAAAAAAATCAAGCATTCGTTTCTACTGGCCACTAAACGAAAAAAATAAAGAATTAAGTAATTGTTCTGAATTAGCTTGTAACACCGGATACGAATATATGTATGTAATACCAGACAATGAAAAAGAAATCGATGGTATCAGTCTAATTACAGAAATCTTATATTTGAATTTCAAAATTTTTAATTTAAAATACCAAAAAAGATTCTGGTTTTAGACAAAAAATGGTTTACAAATCATTCGATGACTTTTTATTCAATCGGCCACACTGTGTGATGGAAGAAATTTATTTACTGGAAAACATCTCAACTATGTGAAAAATATAACTTTTTAATAAAGAATTGTTTATCAATTGGGTAATTATACTCTGATTATTAAGTTTACGAGAGAGTTGGATAAACTTAAAGAGGTGAAGTAGTACCTATGGGGTAAAGATGAAGTTGTACTTATTAGGTATTTTTTCCCATAATCATTTTTCTAGATTTTAATCTCATCTCTAGTCATTTTATTAATAAAACATTTATACTCCGGCATTTCATAAATTCCCTTCATCATCAAGGTTTCATTCTTTAATAAATATCATACAATATTTTTAATAGAACCCAGAACTAAAAAATCTATAAAACACTTAGTCATATTTAATAAATAAAATAAATTTTTTTATTAAATGGAAAGTCATATTCTGAGAAATCACATTGGTCTAATCTGATTGATCACACTAAATAATATATTATATCTGAGCATAAAGTTGTACATTTTTGCTGAATGGGAGAGGCACACATAGAACGTTGATACGCAGTCATGTTTGCGAACTCGAATAGAAAAGTTTAAAATAAAATTTTGAACCTAGTAGCTCTAATAAATAAACACATTAACAATAGTATTTTATGAGTTCGAATACTGACATACCTTGAGATCGTGGTAATATTAAGAAATACCATTCTTCCTCACAGCTGATAACTTGTATTACTTCGTTCTATGTTTTCTATATAATCAAATAATAACAAAAGTTGAAAACCGTTATCGGACTTCTGCTGTATGAAAGAATTAATTATGTTGTCCGAGAAAACTGTGAAGAAATAAGCTGGAATCAGTGAGAATTTATTTAGTTTGAAAAATTAACTAGGGTCCAATATGTGCTACGACTGATTGATAAATTTTTTTTCTAGTGCACTACAAGCGATGTAGAGAACCAAACTTGAACTAACTGTTAGACGGATGGTGTGGCTCTTAATCCCAACATGATTTGAAGCAATGGAAACTGGATTTTAGCGGCAAGAGATAGCTTTAAATTGACTAACCAATGAAGGCCGTCAATGAAGTCCAATCTGAGACGTTTAATAATGCATTTCTCTGTTAACTATGTAAAGTCCATACTTCTGCATTTGCTTCGGAAGGCTACAATGAATTTATGATATTTAGAGGTAGATAGTTAAAATAAAAAATACATTATTTTTTTTTTAGCGAACTTGGTAGAAACAGAAGAGGAACATAAAAAAAACACTCTTTATTCTCTCATATGATAAATCACAACGTGCAAAGAGAAAAAGGAGAGAAAAAAAAAAGATTCTTCTAGCGAACACGGCATTAATAAATCGACAGCCAGGCGATGTTCGAAATGCCATAGCTCTGAAAGTTGAAAAAGCCGTTATAATAAATCACGTATTAAAAAAATTGGCAAACATGGTGGAAAAACTGATAAACCGCTCTTGTGGCTTTCATAAGTTTGGACTCGTAAATTTGATCACTCTAACCGAAATAATACGAAGTTTAAGCCCAGATTTAAACAAATCTACAATTATACATAGCATAAATAATTAGATCGAGGTATATATACACATACATATACACACATATATAAATATATATATATATATATATATATATATATATATATATATATATATATATATACATAGTCAGGAGGGTGTATATATGACAGAATGACACAACACCTAGCATTTGCGGATGACGTAGTAATTACCGGAAAGACATCCAATGCACTCATAGGACCCTTCGAGGAGGATGGAAAAGCAGAAAAAAGAGCAGAACTGGTCATAAATATATTTAAAACTAAATATGTGTTAACAACGAGGGAGATGAAAGGCATCTCTAGATATATCGAGGGAGCTGGACATCGTTTCGCAAAAAATAACACAATTTAGTTATCCAGGCACTGTTATCACTGAGAATAACAATATAAGAGAAGTATATTGAATAATAGAGTATTTTGAATTACTTGGGAACAACGTAGTTTGAACGTTATATTCGTAAGAAACAATATATTTGGTTGTTCTATAAGTTCTTTCCGTTTTCTTTTTTTGTTGTTTAATGGTGATTTAGTTTTATTTAGAACCGTTCTGTTCTATTACCTTCTTTAATCTCTCAGAAAGCCTCTTATACTCTTTTTTTTTCAAAATTGTTGAGAAAAAATATTCTTCGGGATGCGTTTTATTTCGCTTTCGGATTTTTAACATTT